TACACATATTGGCTTCTGTTGTAAAGGGTATGACTTTAGGTAGTTGAGGGGAGTGCCCCCTTTTACCCGTGGCGACTTTTTAAAGTAGCAAATCATGGTCAACAGTATCAAAGCTTTTACGTAAATCATGAAAATCCCCAGTGTATATATGTTTTAGCATGTGTTAAAAAAGCTTTATCGTATTTTTATTAGGCCTGAAAACCCCCAAAGACAGGGGTTTGGGATTCATTTTGTTCTCGACCCGCGGGAAAAAGAGGAGCTTTTTACAATTTCTCTTTCACGCCACCCGGGGAGGAAAACAGCATAGCACCAAGATGGGGACCCAATGAAAAGGCGCGTAAATAACTGCTGCATTGAGTGGTTAAGGATCTTTAAGTACGCCACGGTGAACGTTCTCCCCAAGCATTATCAGGGCTGTTATGGCATCCCCAAAGAAGAGTTTGGGTTTTACCTGGGAAATTCAAGGGGGGGTTTTGGGGGGAAGTTCGGGGGCTTCACTCCTCCATCCAGTTTCAAGAAAAGGAGAGAAACGGGGTGGAAGTATGCTTAATGATGGTCCCCGTTTTTTACCCCTTTGGGTGAAGGTTGGAATGTCTTTTTGAGGCCAAAAGCATACACCCGATTTTCAGGGATTGGGGGCGTAAAATTCCGAGTGGGAATGTGGAGGGACGGCCCCCCCGGGGGGTCCGGGGATTAATAAAATTTCCCTGGGGGGGTTCCAAATTACATTTGCTAACCCCCCAGAAAAGGTTTTTTTCCTATGCGGGGCGGGAAGCTGCCCTTTTGGGGATTTAATGGAAATGGTGGGCACAATCCCCAGGGACCAAAGGCCTGGGGGAAGAGAAAGCTTTTGGAAAGGCATTAAACCGTATTTGCGGGGGATGGAAACCCGGGGGGGGGCCTTGGAGTGAGGGGGGGAAAACAAGGTTTTTTGGACGGGTGTTTACCTTTCCGGGAAGGGGGGGGGGGAATAATCCTGTCAAAGATGTTTTGGTACCCAATTCGCCAAGAAGGGTTTTGGGGCTTTTTCGAAGGATTTTTTTGAAAATCGGGGCATTGGGAAGGTATGGGCGGGGGGGTATTCCCGGGGATGGTGAAAGAAAGGGGAAAGGAAGACTTTTGTAGGTTTCTTTGGGGGAAAAAGTTTTCGGGTCCCCCGAGATTGGGGTTTAAGAAATAGTGTGTAGGGGGTAGTCCCGCGAGATCAGCGGGGGCATCGACATGGACAAAAATTTTTCCCCACCCAGTGCAAGGCCTGGAAGAAGATTTTGGGCAGCGGGAGAAAAAGGCAAACCGGGGGGGAAGGGGGGAAAAGGGTGGCGGAAGGGCCCCGGGAAGGGGTTGGAGGCGGCGGGGTTGTGAGTGGGCGGCCTATAAAGGAGGGCCGTGCCTCACCATAGGGGAAGCTGCCATTCCTTTTTAAAATTTAGGTTGAACTTTCAAATGTAAAGTCTTTAAAAAAAAAAAAAAAACCGGGTCAAAGGGTATGGTTAAGAGTGGGTTTTAAGGAAATTTATTTTTGTTTGGGCCCCGTTTTTTTTAGCAGGAAAAAACCATAGGTTGGATGGAGGGTTTGTTTTTTTCAAAGGTTTATAGGTTGTTTCCAGTGTGTTTTTTTTTGAGGGTTGAAAAAAGGGGGGTGTGGCTGTGGCGGTAAGGAGACCCCCGTTTCCTTTGCGTTTTTCCTGGGTTTGGAGGAAGGGGGGTGGGAGGGGTTTCAGAGTGGAATGGGTTTTGGGGGCCGGGAGGTTTTAGTTTTTTGTAAAGGGGTACATGCAAACAAAAATAATAAAACTAGGGTTTTAAGGTGGATTTTTTGTACGCGATATTCTGGTATTTTAAAAAAACTTCAGAGGTTTTCTGCTATTACAGTGATTTTGGGGAATTGGGGAATTGTTTTTCATAGGAATGGTTTATGGGTTTCCGAGGGGGGGCGGTTGTGTTTTGGGGGTTCTGGAGAGATGTTTTTGGGCGAGATATTGAGTGGTAGATGTGGGGGGAGTAGGGGATAGGGAGTGGGAAGCACACTTTTATCTAGGGGATATGAGGGGACGGTTTTTATATAGGTTTTATGTTTTAGGCCGGGGGAAAGGTGTGGAGAGGGGTGGGTTTTTTCTGACATCGTGCTGTTAAGCAGATTTTTTAGGGGTTTTAATGGCATAGTGAAGTTTATGGGGCGGGGGTAGGAAATTGAAATGTGAGGTACTTAGGGGGATGAGGGTGACGTATAGGGGTTTTTGAAGAGGGGTGGAAAAAATCCTTTGGGAGACAAAAGGATATGGAGAAAGGATTTGCTGGATTGGGGGAAATGAGGGCTAGTTGGATCCCCCCGGGTCTTTTTTTAAAAATATGGGGTAAAAGGGGGAATGTCGAGGTGGAGCTTTAAAAGGGTTACAAAAAATTATCTTTGAAAGGTCAGTTAAATGCTGTTATCAGAGGAAACGGGGGGGGAGTGAAGGACAAGGAACGTTTTGCAAAAAATAGGTGGCGGAAATTCACAATGGAAAAATTTGAGGCAAAAATTAGAGTTGGGCAAAGGGTTGGGAGGACGTTTTTTTTTAAAAGGGGATAGGCCTCGGTTTGTATAAAGGGGGTTTTTAAAGGGAAAGGCAGGCAAAAAAAAAACCTTGGGATATTGAGGAGGTACAGGGAGGGGGGGGCTTTGGGAGGGTAAGGGCCATCCACCCCGAAAAAATTTGTTTTTATGCCCATTTTGGTTTAGGGAGAAATGGAGGAGGGTTGGCGGGGGGGTGGGTGAGGGACGTTTTTTGGGGGTGAAAGGGTTTAATGGGGAAATTAAATGAGCAGGACAGTGACAGACTCGGGTAGTATTTGTGTAGCGGAGGTGGAGGGGGCGTTTTTTGGGGTGTGCCGGGGAAACCCCAGGCATGACGGGTACCAAACGATTTTTTAAGGTTCTTTGGGGGGGTGTACGGATTTTCTGGTGGGGGTTTTTTAATTTTATGTTAATAGTGGGAGGAGGGAAAAAACACAAAAAACGGGTTCATGGTTTTTTGTGCCCAAAAAGAAGGAATGCCCCTTTGAAAGATTCCCCTGCGTTTTCGTTTAAAAGTGCTCGGATTACAAAATTTTTTCTAAGATTTTGGGGAACAGAAAGAGGAAAGGTTAGGTTTAGTGTTAATAAGGGGGCAGTTGGGAATTTTCCGGGGGGGAAGGTGAGGGATGGCATGGTTTTTTTTAGTGATTTTTTTAGAGAGTTGTACGGGGGGGGGGGAAATACTGGTTTTGATTGGGGAAGATATGATTCCGTGGAGAGAATTTCTTAGGGGGTTTTCTTTAAAGAGGTTGGGTTTTTAGGAGGGGGGGAGTGAGGGGGGGTGAACAAACCCCGTATGCTGAGGCAGAGGTAGGGTACAGGTCAAAGGGAGGTTGGTGAAAGTGTACCCATGGAGAGACTTTGAGGAGGCTGCCCCTGTCGCAGCTGCTCTTTGTGTGTGTGCAGAAAACCTTTTTATGGTCTGTTGGCGGGGGGATGGGCAAAAAAGGAGAGGAGGGGGGGAAAGGGGGGGATCGTTTTGGGTTTGTGGATGATTATGTTTTTGCTAGGGGTAAGGAGGGTTAAGGAGGGGGGAAAAGTGATTCAAAAAAGTTTTGGGAGAATACGGGGACGAGATTTTAAAAACGGTGAAATCAAAGGGTTTTAGAAGTGGTAAATTTGGTAGGGGGGGGTTGGGAATGGGGTTAGGGGACGTGGTTTAAGAATAGGGTAGTGGGATTGGGATATGGCGAGGTGCAGGCATGCAGAAGGGTAATTTTGAAGGGCGTCAGGGTAAAGGTTTTTAGGTAGATAGGAGGTTTAAGTGTGAGGGACCCAGCTTTACATCAAGGGGTGGGGGTGGTAAATTCACTTTCTATGAAGGTATGGGGGTGGGAAGGTTTTTCCCTTAGAGGGACAAAACATTGTGGGAAATGCAAGGGGGGTGCTGAAGTTTGGTGGGATTTGGGAGGGCATGGTTAAGTAAGGAGGTAGTTATGACGGATGTTCGAAGAGGGGGTTTAGGTTTGTTGCCTTTAGGACTGAGAGTAATGGCTATATGTATCAAGCGGAGGTATATAAGGGAAGGGGGTGTGAGGGGCGCTAAAGTAGGAAGAGTTATGGAGGAGGCACGTAAATGGTGGAGTGGGAAGGAATTGAGGTTTTGTGAAGATATGTTGAGATTTTTATTGACAGTGCAACAGGTGGATAACATCAAAGTGAAAAGGTTGGTGAGGGTAGTGAAAGGTCAGGGAATTATGCAAGGGGTAGCCGTGTATCCAACGTATGATTGGGGGGTTATTTGGAAAGATTTTAGTAAGCTTAGGATACCGGCTAGAGTAAGAGAATTAGTGTATCGTTTTATCATGGGGATTCTGGCCTCCAAGGAGATGTTACGTTGTATGGGGTTTGTGGAAGAGGCTTTTTGTCAGTTTTGTGGTGATGTTGAAACGGCGTTTCATGTGGTCTTCTTTTGTACCTCCTTGGAGGGGGTGAGATCATGGATGGGTGGGGTTATCAGACTGTTGGGGGAGGGGTCGTTTGCCGTTTTTAAGGGCTTTACTACTAGATGTAAGGGGAGTGCCTAGGGATGTTGGAAGGGCTATAATGTATATCATAGTAGATTATCTGGATATCTCATGGGGAATGAGGGGATTAAGGGGTGATATAAGGATAAAAGCGTGGCGGCTAGATTCTATTGGACGAAGTGTAGGAATATGCTGGTTTATGGGGCGTCCTGGGAAAAAAGTTTCCCGGAAGGTTATAGGAACCTCACTGTGGGTTCCCTTTGTCAGGGTCCCTGAGGATGGACAAAGGGGTGGTCTCCTTATGGGGGAATGTAAAGAGGGGGTGGGGGTTTTTGTTTTCCTCTGGAGGCTTATGTGGTGATGTGGTGTGGACGGTAGTAACAGTTTGGTATGGATGGTACGCTATGTTTCACGAGAATGTTTGTCATAGTTCAAATTCAAATTCAAATTCAAAGTTTATTCTCTGTAGAATCCAGAATCCATCATACTATGGACTGGACTTGGATGAGGACGAAAAGCCAGAAAAGGCTATAAATTCACTCTTGTCCTCAACCATTGACCGAGCTTTAGGTTGCCTTGAAGCCGCTTACTGTATTGAAGTTTCTGTTGTAAGTAATTGTCATTTTTGACATTTAAATGTTCAGTATACATTCTGAATAAAATTACCATGTGTTTGTAACACTATATGGATGTACAGTTTTAGGGCTTTCATTATCATCAGTAATTATCAAAATTTTTTTATTGTTATTAAAAATTGTTTTATGATTCTGTAATTTGAGTATATAAGTATTATTTCAATTATATTGTTTAAAAAAAGGGGAAATTGAATTGATTTATTAAGTTTGAAGTGCTTGATACATAAGGGATCATGCAAAAAAAACTCAGGCTTTTAGGACTGATGGCGCCCAAAATATGTTAAAAGAACTTTCTTCACAAATTTTTTTGTTTCTTCTTCATTTTAATTAAAATTTTGAACGTTTTTAAAAAGGATAATGTAAAAAAAATACTTTGTTCTTTTTTTTTTTTCATGTAACATGATTAAAAAAAATTGATTTAAAATTTAAATTAAAATTTTATTTTTTTTTTTATTCAACAAACGGCTGCATCCCACCATCGGGGTGCCAAAAAAAAAAAAATTTTAAAACCCCTTATTGTCGCAACCCAAAATCCTGAGGTGTTCCTGGTGTCGCAAAATTTCCGAAAAAAAAAAAATGTTTTTCTTACGAAAATAGAGAATTTTTTTCCCCGTTGTAGACACCAAAAGAACGAAATTTGATGGAAAACTGACGAATTACGCCTATGAGTTAGAAACCCTCGGCGAATTTTCACAAATGGCGATTTCACCCCCTTCTGACCCCTATTTTCGGCTTTCTATTGTTCCAGTTGACCAAACTATAGCAATTTCTTTAAAAATATATTTTTTTTCGTTGTGTACAAAAATACCCATTTATCAATTTCAACTACCCAAAAACCCCGGTCAGAAATTGCAATTTCGCCTTTTTCACAAAAATTTAAAAAAATGTCCCTTTTCAAATGGGGGTTAAAAAAAGAACAGTGCGGCTTTCCCCTCCCTCAAAAATAACATTTTTTTGTCTTCAGTCATGCCCAGGCCCCTCTGATTTTACTCTTGCTTTTAGTTTTTTATTTAACAAAAATAAAGTTTTATGTTATGCAGTCACAAACTGCAAAATTGTAAAAATAACATTAACCCATTCATGACTGCGTATTGAATGGCTACTTGGACTTTTATTGGAAAACGAACTTTTGTTTACTTTTGAACATCGGAAAAAATAAAACTTTCCCCTCTTTGAGCTCATTTTAAGGTTTTTTTTATAGTAAAAAAAATAAAAAAATCATCTCTATTTCTATATATGTTTTCCATTCTATCAAAAGAGATCAAGAAAACAAGAAACAACCATAAAAATATAATCAAATAGACCACAAAATCGGCATTTTAATTAAAAAAACGGTTGGGTGTTTTTTTTTTTCTCATTATACACTGGTGCCCGCAGGGTTTTTTTTATGGGCACATGCCACACAGACCCTTCTCTCCATGTGGGCCCACCAGCTTTTCCCCGCTTGATTTTAAGCCGCTAGAATTTATGGGCTCGGTGGCCTGGTGGTTAAAGCTCTCGCTTACACGGTGAGGGCCTGGGTTCGTTCCCAGCCAAGTAGAAAAAATTTGGGCGTGTTTCTTTTTTAACCGTTGTCTATGTTCCCCATCAGTTAAAAAGGGGTTTCTTGGGTGTGTCGCTGGTGTGGGTCGCATCCTGGGGGGCATGACTAAGGAGGCCTGGTCACAGACCGGGGCGGGGGCGTTGGGGCCCCGAAAATCTCCCAGGTAAACTCCCGGTCTATAAAGATACAATGTTGAAATTACAGAATTTTTGTTTTTGTGTGCTTTCTGTAAATTAAATAATGATTACAAGTGTACCACTAAACGCCCAGCATGGGTAGGCATTTCGGGCAAGACTTATTTAATTCTTTATTTTAAAAAATTACGTTATAAAAGGAAGTTGGTATTATGGCTAAGTGACTAAAAACTAGTTTGTGATTTTTGCAATGTGAATGCTTTTTGTTTTGGCACAGTAAAAATGTTTCAGTATTGGGGGGATCTGGATTATTATTTTAAGATTGAGTTAATATTTTCTGTTTAGGTCAAAAGGGTGATTTAGTGTAAGGGGGAAACCCCCAGGTGGTATTCGTTTTGTTAGTTTTGGGGTTTATCAGGGAGATAAGTGTTTTCTATGGTGTTTTTAAGGTGATGAATGTGTCTGCGTTCTAGAGTTTTGGTAGGGTTTCCAGATTTTAGGGCCCTTTTCATAAAATTTAATTTTTTTAAAGGTTTTTGTCGGACATGGGGGAAAGTGTAGAGTGTTTGTGTTGGTGTTTTCCTGGGGTTCTGTCAAACTACAAGAAGCGTTTTGGGGGCAAGGTTTATTGGGGGTTAAGGTTGTAGATGTGATTGCACGTGTAAGTGTGGATGTACTGAACCCGGGGGTAAATTTAGATCTTGAAAGGTTGGGGGGGGTGTTGCCAGGATGGGATTTAGTGATTATTCTTACTGCAGTTTTTTGTTGGGTTATTATTGGCTTTAGGTGTGTTGCTGCAGTTGATCCCCAAGCACAAATAGCATAGGTAGGTATGGATAAATAAGTGAGTGGTATAGTGTGAGAAGGGGCATTTTGCGGCACGTAGAATCATATCTGGAGAGGATCCCAATGTTTTGGATACTTTTTTGGTTATGTGTTGGATATGGGGTGCTGAAATTCAGGTTGTTGTCAAGGTATAGGCCTAGGAATTTGCCCTCATTATGTCTGGTAATTAGAGTGTTGTCGATCTTAGTGTTAATTTGTGCATCTCCTGCTCTGCTACCAAACATAATATAGTAGGTTTTGTCAGTGTTAAGCGTAAGTTTATTGGCTGTCATCCAAGTCGATATTTTGATCAGCTCCTTGTTAACAATGGTGTTGAGGGTGGCAAGATTAGGGTGAGAGATGACATAAGTCGTGTCGTCAGCAAAGAGAATGGGTTTCAGGTGTTGGGATACTTTTGGAAGATCATTGATGTATATGAGAAAGAGCAGGGGACCAAGGACACTTCCCTGCAGAACTCCAGTATCAAGTGGCCGAGTTGTTGATGCTGTGTCTTTAATGGTAAAATACAGATACCTATTAGTAAGGTAAGATTTGAAATAAGCAAGCGCATGGCTCTTATACTGTAATGGTCAAGTTTGTGGAGTAGGATGTGTGGTCTTACTGTGTCAAAAGCTTTTATTAGGTCAATAAAAATTCCTAGTGGATATTCCTTATTTTCCAATTTGCTGTGTAAAGCAGATCTAGCATTTTTTATGATTGCATCATTAGTGCTTTTATTTTTCCTAAATCCAAATTGGCAGGATGTTGGTATGTTTGTGCTGTTATAAATGAATATAGTCTCCTGTGCACGAGTTTCTTTAAAGATTTTGGATAGCAATGGTAAGTTTGATATTGGCCTATAGTTGTTTAAGTCTGTAGGGTCACCACCTTTATGTACTGGTGTAACCTTTCCATCTTGATAGTTTCGGGAAGGTGCTAGTTTCTAGTGACTGTTAAAAAGTAATGAAATAGCATGCGAAAGGAAATGGGCCGCTCGCTTGTACAGTAATGGTGGGACATTAGACAGATTCCCTGAGTTGTTTTTAAGTGACTTTATAATCTCGGTGACTTCAGAGGGCTCAGTTGGTGCAAGATAGAAGGAATTTGGGAAATTCCCATCTAGGTAGTCCCCGGCATGGGCATTAGTATGTGGGACTTTATTGGCGAGATTAGATCCTATGGTTGAGAAGAAGTCGTTTATCTTGTTAGCTGTGTCATTGGGATGCAGTGGTGTTTCATTAGGTTTAGTTAGGACAATATTCTTGTTTTTTTTCAGTTTGTGGGTCCCTAGAATCTGAGAGAGTGTTTTCCAGGTCTTTTTTATATCTCCTCTAGTGTCTGTGAATCTACTGGAGATATAAGTGTAGCTTACAAGGTTAATTTTCTAAGCCTGATGGTTATGTTCACTGTGTTAAAAATTTCCTTGATAGCCAGGATACCGAGCCCTTAGGATCTTGTTTTTAAGTAATCAGTTTGGCAAGTTGGATTCAACAAAAAATTTTCTGAGGTACCATCTAAAGGGGACAAAAAGATACAAAACATCCAGGCCATGGGAAAACCTGGGTAGCCACAGCCACTCAAGAGGGAGAGGTTTTTTAGTGCCAGGAAGGAAAAAAAACTGGCAGGAAATGGCAGAAATCGTACACCAAACCCCAGCCCTTTTTTGGGGGAACCCCCGGGCCCCGATGGCCCCCCCAACCCAAACCCAACAAAATTACAGATACTAATCCCGGGAAAAAAAATCCCCCCCCATACCAACAATACCCCCAGCCCCGAAAAACATTTTTCTTTGAAAATTTACGGGGTCAAAAACCCAGCAAAAAACAACAAAAAACCTTTCATCCGTGGATTTGCTTGCAGAGGCAAAGGAAATTTGTTGCGGCTTTCACAAAAACCCACATAAAGGATCATTTGGACAATGAAATATGGATTTCCCAGGTTACAACCTATAAAAATGTGACAGAGTGAACAGGCAAAAGGGGGGGGGGGGGCCGAAAATTTTGCAGAGGTCACTTTTTGCACAGAACTGCTTAATGCCTCAAAGGGACGTAGTGGAATTTTTACCCGAAAAGGGCCGAAAAACCAAAAAAACCCCTGGGCATTGTGGTAGAACAAGCCTCCCGGATGCAACCCCCCCAGAAATTTCCAGGAAAACTTTTTTAAAAATTGCCCCACTGTCGGGGAAAATCTTCCGCTCCTGCCCCCCCAACATCTTGCCCTTTGGGGATTTCAACTTAAGGCCCCCTAAAAGGGAGGAATATAGCAAATAATATTTTTTCGTAATAACACCGGGAAAGGCAGCCTGAGGGAAAACTCACCCCTCACACGAGTTTTTAAATCCCCTGCAAAAAATTAAAATTTAACCAGCAAAAAATTTAGGCCTCCCTAGATTTGGAGAATCCCCAAAAACCTCAAATTCCCTAACAATGTTAAACTGATAAGAAATGTAAATATCAAAAACAATATATTTC